TGAGCATCTCTGTCCTTGTCTCGGATCGGGGCCCCTCCCCCGCAGCCTGGGAGCCCTGCTCTCGCACAAAGCGCTCAGGAGGAGACCATGCCTTTGGGTAATAGCCCCGACCAGCAGATGTACAAGTGGTGGAAGAATAAAACCGGCAGCAAGGCCTTGTGCCCTTTGCTGGGCTTCTCCGCACAGCAGGCTGCCCAGGAGGGCCGGGCCAGCTCGGTCAGCCTGAGGGCGGACGAGCGGACTGCCTGCAAGGTCCTCGTCTCCTGGCCGGCGCCAGGGAGCACGGAAGTAGCTTTGGCCGAGTCACGGGACAATTCCCTCCCATCTCTGGTAAAGCCGGGGGTCGGCGGTATTTAACTGTATTATGCTTTGTGCTTTAGCCAGAGGGTTAGAAAAGTATTCTTTTAAAAAATATATTGTTATTGATTTCAGGGAGGAAAGGGCAGGGAGAGAGGGAAGCATCAATGATGAGAGAGAATCATCCATCAGTTGCCTCCTACACCCCTCACTGGGGATCAGGCTCACAACCATGTGCCCCGACCAGAATTGAACCCTGACCTCCTGGTTCATAGGTTGATGCCCAACCACTGAGCCCCGCCGGCCGGGAGGTGAGTATTCCTAAAGGCTAGCACCCTACGGAGGAGTGACGCAGGTGAAGAAGCCAGGACGTCATGGTTCTGCACACGGCGCTGCCCGGTGCACAGCTGCAGATGAGAGGGGACGGAGGGCTGAGGAGAGCGGTGTCTGACCCCACAGGGCCCTTTGGTGTTGGTTCTCACCTCTGTTCTAGGGATTTTACATGATATGAGTGAATGTGTCCCGACCAAACATGCACAGAGCGGGACTAGATTAGAACAAACGTTTCTCTCCTTTCTCCTTGCTGGCCTCTCAGGAGCGAGCCTGTGACTTGGACCTGCTGCTTCCTGGGCCAGTCTCCCAAGCTGCCCCGAGTCCGGGAGCACATGTTCACACGGGCTCAGCGACCCTACCTCTCGGGGTTGCGCTGAGGCTCCCGGTTCGCAGCCACGCTGATAAGCTCCTGCGCTGACGGAAGGGGGCAAGGTCCCAGCTGAGATCCGAATCGGCTCGGGACCTATTTGGGGTTAAGGACGCCTTCCCGGTCCCTTACCTCCCACCAGAGAGGACAGCTCTGACAGGAGCCTGGCGATGGCTTACCTCGGCGGCGTACCTCACGCCGTCCACCACGTGCTCAGAGCCGTGGTCGTCCGTGGACCCCCAGTGCAGGTGAAACTGTCGCAACCTGTATCTTCCAGTGAGCGGGCCCCCTCGCAGAACTAAAGGGCAACACAGGTGACACTGTTAGCAAGAAGGGTGTTACCGAGCGCCCCCCACAGCGTCTCCTCACACCCGCGTCTCGAGGAAGGTTCTACCCAGGCACCTGGCGTTCGCAGGCCAGGATCCAGCTTCCAGGTGGGCGAGGAGTGAACACAAACCTTTGAAGGGTGAGCGCGTCCACAGGACAGCTGTGTGCGGAGCACGGGAAGCCCAGCAGGCACTCTGGTTCAGCGCAGGGAGCCTACAGGGCTGCCCCGTCCCCGGAGGCCGCCGGGCCCAGGAGCGCAGCAGGTGGCGCAGGAGAGCTTTCAGCACTTGAAGGCCTGGGCTCGCCTTGGCTTCACCAGCGTGGCCTTGCACAAACTCTCTGGCCTTGAGCTCCAGCTGTCAGGCCATGACCCCGGCGAGCAACACCACCTCCCCGCAGTGTCGTGGGGAAGGAGAAAAACTGAGCACACAGCCCTCGCCCCTGCCCTGCACACAGCCAGCTGGACCCGCGAGCTATGATGACTACGATACCACTGCTGCTCCCACAAATGCGGGCAGAGTGAGCTCACCTTCTCAGGGAAGTAGGAAACACGGGACACCATTAACTCTTTTTAAAAATCTATCAGATGTTGCCACTTGAGCAAAGTGTATTTTTAGCACTTTTCCTCCACAAATATGCTCCCTAAGACCATGGCCATAGAGCTCAGCCAGTAGGGCTCAGTGGCTGAGTGTCGACCTGTGAACCAAGAGGTCTTGGTTCAATTCCTAGTCGGGGCCCATGTGTGCAATTAAAAAAAAAAAAGAGTGACCATAAACAGTGAACTACAAAACTGCACCCCGCCCCCAACAGCAGAGAGAGACTGGCTCTCCCACGTTGGCCGGTGCCGTGTGGTGTGAGAAAGCGGGGAAGGAACCTGGGCAGACGGCGCTCGCTGGGCCGGGCAGGAAAGCACGTGGATGTTGTCTCAAACGCCAGGCGCCCACGCACCAGCCACCTGGGAAGAGATGATGCCACAGACACAGAAACCTGGGGAGTGACTCCTTGGTTCACGCCCACAGTCGCTTAGAAAACAAACGTGGAACCAAAGGGAGAAGCCCTGTGTCCTTACAGTGGATAAAGAGCGACCAGGACACTGGGAGCAGAGCAAGGGAGGCGGGTTTGTTTTTACAAGTCCTCCCGCTCCTGCCTCTGCTGAGCGGCACCTCCCGCAGCTGAGGGCAGGGCCCAGGCACCGGAGTGGGACCCGCAGCTGAGGGTATGGCCCAGGCACCAGCGTGGGACCCGCAGCTGAGGGCACAGCCCAGGCACCTGAGTGGGACCACAGCTGAGGGCACGGCCCAGGCACCAGAGTGGGACCCGCAGCTGAGGGCACAGCCCAGGCACCTGAGTGGGACCCGAGGGCAGTGCCTCCTATTCACAGTGACAGCCCAGTGACGGAGCAAATGACACGAAGTGGCTGCAGCGGCTTCAAATGGAAAGGAGCAGATCCCCTGGGAAAACAATGTCTGATCAATAGTATTCATCAGCCTCAGCGTTTGACCGCCTCCTGCTGACACACAGAATGCCTTGGTGCAAAAGTCACCATCAGTTCCAGCGCAGCTCTGTCCGCGTTCTCCTCGCGGCCCGGGACCCTCGGGAAAAGCTTCGCGATGCAGCCGTCAGATTCGGCCCCAAATTACATTCCCATGTTACCGCTCTCAGCGGCCTTTTCCTTTTGTCTTTCCTTCCTTCGCCTTTTCATTTGTGAAGAGGGCATAACCTGATGATGCCCCGAGGTCAGGTACAAAGTACACAGTGACAGCCGTGTGCTCGGCTGCGGGTCCCACACAGGTGCCTGGGCCGTGTGCTCAGCTGTGTACTGGAAAAGCCACTTCCAGGCCCGTCCCTGCCTCCAACCTCCCCCGCTCCCCCGACAGCGGAGGTTCCATAAGATGCAGAGCACCCTCACCACTGCCTCCGTCCTCATCCCGCACGCCAAGGAGGGTCCTGACCCGCTCAGGCCCACATCCC